GCGGTTTTTTTTGCCATCCCTACCTTTCAGAACGAGTAATACTATTCATAGTTGCTCACTGCAGTAGTCGCTCTATGTGGCACACACATGTCATGTAGTTATTTAATGTATTAATGTGGTAGTTTTTTTTATCACATTAATGCATTAAATACACATTTGACATGTGTGTGTCACATATGACGACTGCTGCAGTGAGCGACTGCAAATAGCATTATTCTTTCATAACACTGCTATATACTAAAGTTGACAACTAATCGCTAACCAAATTAAGAGCTAATTATGACATTTCGAAAATTGGTTGTATTAAATGGACACACGTAGTCTTCATAGCCGTCAACTTCAATTGATTAGAACCACATGCAACCTTACTAAATAGAATAATGTAATTTAGCACCCAAAAGCACAAATTTAGGTGACATTATGCTATACGTTCAATTAAATGTGAAATTATGTGATTCATTTAATTATGCCTATAATTTAATGACACTAATTCTGCCACCTAGATTGATGTTAAGCACAAATGATACTAAATAATATTATTCTACCAAACAAGTTTCAAGACAAAGGCATATAAAGAGGCATATAAAGAGGCACATAGAGGTTCATCCAACACACAATTTACTTTATATTATATCCACATAATTCTCTTATTAAGTATTATTCTCTCCATCCCATTTATATGTACCGATTTTTCTTATTTTCTTATCCCAATTATATAGTCATGTCTCTTTATTGAAAATGTTTTGTTTTATTTGTTTATTGATATACTCTTATTTAATTTGCCTANTCCCAATTATAAAGTCATGTCTCTTTATTGAAAATGTTTTGTTTTATTTGATTATTAATATACTCTTATTTAATTTGCCTAATTATAACCAATGTGAGAATTGAAAATTAAATAAAGATAAATTACTACTAGTCGTTGATAATTAAATAAAGATAAATTAGGAAAGTTTCTGACAAAAAATGCTTTTTCAATAGCGTTAAATAAAATTTCTTAAATAGGATAAAAAAATAAAAAGTATATTGCCTAGGTGACTTGTGTCGGAAGGCCTCTGCTGGGAAGACGTGTGTTATTTCGCAGGTCAATCTCAACATAAAGAACAATGCGAAGATTCTTGTAAAATTTGACCGACCGATTTTGACATCATTAGAACCGTTAGAATTCTATTTGTTCAGTCTATAATTCTGCACAAAGTCTGTCGAACTACCTACTAGGTTAAGCCTAACCTTCCACTAAGTTATGTCAACACCAACTTCAACCTATGTTTGTGAGTATCCTTCCTGAATTATAGTTAATTGAGCGGACATTCACCTGATTTTGTGTAAATATGTTAATTGTAAGAAAATTCCCGACTTGATTTTTGGATGCAACTGAAGTGAAAAGGATGAATTTGGAGCTCAATTGAAGTTGATTCGGAACAATTGATAATCAACCTAATTGCATTTGATCAATTGAAATAATTAAGATGGCAATCGGAACATATTCGCAAGTTTCAGAGCTAAATCCAACGTTTAGAAAGTTTGGAGAAACTTAATTGCAAACTTCGAAAACTTGCATGTGATCAATTACAAACAATTGTAGAATTTGGAGGACCAAATTATGAATATTTAAAGATCAAATTGTTATCCTTACGATCGCAAGGCACGTTCCTTTCAATCACAAAAATAACAAAGTGCCAAATTCTCTCAAATAACCATTGATAATCAGTATCAACCCTTATGGGTCAACCTGTCTGTCTAATACTTGGGATTATAGCACACTTCCGTCTATGCATCTCATGCCTTCATTCATTTCATGTTTACCTATTATTGTCTCAATGAAATGTCTACTGCCTGAATGTATCAATACTTGTCTACATGCCATGCGACCATTGTTCACAAACTTGGCCATTTGTCCATGTCGTGCACCAGAGTCGCTAATAGAACAATAACTAGAACACTTAATTACTTGAAAATTTCCAAAAATGGATAGATCATAGGGGCTCTAAAGACAGATTTATTCATTATGTTATTTCCAGTCAGCAATTTGATTTGTACATCACAGCAATGTATTGCAATTTCAAGACCGTTCCATACTACACAAATTTGCTTCATTTCTTCATTCATAGATCAAGAGGGAGATTTTCAAACAAATGAGACCTACATGTTACTCAGTACTAATACAAGATTATTTCATGAAAGAGTGCTTATAGATATGATTTAATCTATTACACACATATCAGACAACGAGAATCCTGGACCGATGGCAAGCTGAACTTCTGCTCCTCACCCTAGATGAAAAGATATATGTGAAGAAAAGTAACCGATTCGTGCTCTGGTGTACAGAAATTTTTTGCTTACGTTAAGAAAGCACATTCTTAACTCCAACCCAAGGAAGTAAATGTGGTTTTCATGTAGAAGCACGACTTTCTGAAAATTGATTATCTTTCAAAAGACGTGAATAATTGAGGAGTCGATGGTACTATTGAGCAACTTCTAGTGACCAAAAAATTAAGCACTCAAAACTATAGACTTTGTATAAAGTAATAGGTCACATATAGATTAAATCATGAGCTTTTGCATCTTCAAATCAGGAGTTCTATGAGAAAACTGATGTGTAATGAAGTGCAAAGACTTACTTTGAAGTCCCATTGAAAACAAACCCTTTTGTTTACGCACCCATTTTTCATAATCTTGCAGCAGCTGTTGTACGAGTAGCGGTACCAACCTGTCCACTAGAGCCTGCATCATTCTGTGTACAATTCGTGGTCACGATTTGGGAATACATGATGTAGTTTGCCAATTTTAAGAGTTCTAGAAGTATCAAGTCTTACATTGAACACTATAAAGGCATACTTCGTACATGGTAGTGGACATCACTTATGAAGAGATTTGTCTTACATATTCTTTTTGTTTCAAGTCTCTGTCAATTATGGTCTAACATATTCCTTTTCTTTTTCTTTTTTCTTCGAAATAAACGGTTTATGCTTTATTTAATGTAAATGAGTTTTCAATACTTACATATTCCCTGGAGCCTCGACAGATGATATTGGCAGAAAGGTGAATGGCTGGGTGTAAATCTGCATGAAGATGAAGATTCAATAAAAACTAAGATGCCAACAGAAATGAAGCCCTTCAATGAGAACAAACAGGCACAATTCCTACAGCGAGTGGCAAGGTAAATCTTGGTTACATACGGTACTTAGTGGCTATACCTGAATCCAATTAAACAAAAATGAAGGGTTTGCTATGAGCTAGCATGCTTGACTAAATTTAAAAATATTATCTATCAATAAGTAAGTTACTTATTTTGATGGTAAGAGTTACTTCCAAAGTAAATTTCTTTTACTTAAAATCAAGAAAAACTTGCTCGTCCAGACATGCTTAGAAAAACACTTTGTTTTCTTTAAGCTTAAGTAAGCATGCTCTTTGAAGAATGGCCGAGTAATGAAGAGAAACCCCACCTCCTGAATTGCAGGAGTATAATAGTAAAAAGATTCCGATTTTGCCCTTTACCATCAAAAGAAAAAAAACAAAGTGTGTTTATGAAAGTTGACTGAAGTTTGTCAATGGCCCAGGTTGATCATAGTTATGATATGTTAACGCTAAAATGACACAAAAATTCACAAAAATGTAACTTGTAAATTCAAAAAATGCAAGATAAATCATTTCCTTGGATTCTCTCTTTCTTCTACTTTCAGGGATGACATTATAGATACATTGGTTATAAGAGTGAAAACATGGATACGAGTGTGCAATCGCAAAGCTCAATCCAATGATATATTTTGGGAAAAATAAAGCAGGCCATGAACTATTTAATATTGCCATATTAGAAATCATATAATCTATATAGCGAAAAAGGCTCAAGTAACGGGAGAGAAATATCAAATTCTAACCTTTAGCATTTGAAATAATTACTAATCACAGACAAACTATGAGCCAGGTGATCAACAATATTAAAAATGTTACTAAGTTCTAACTCTAGACAAACAAATGAAGGAATCTATTCAAACTGAAGTTGACAAGCTTTTGAAAAGTATTTTAGTGAGATAATGAAATGTGTGAAATGTTTTAGTCAGCCCATAGGAAAGGCTGCTACGCAGGGGACCCTCACTCGGTCTACAACTAGCACTGGCAGAGGCTAAAATTGGTTTCAAAAGAAGAAAGTACCATAGAATTCATAAGAAAATACTCAACAGAGGAGGATAACAACCTCAAGGATGAGATCTAACTTCACATCGACATTCAAAAATGGTTCAGAATCAATAGTTTCCCATGTTATACGGTTTCTCATTGAAGCTGCATGTTGAAAACAAAGAAAGATCAAAACTTAGATATAGGCTATAATAGGTATTGCTTAATTATGCAAGTGAAATCATGGAAACATTTACTAAAGCCACCAAGACGTATTAAACTTGCAGTAGATAACAATTAAGAATTTCAGAAATCGTTGAGTGCATGAAAATTACAGACATATGCAGTGAATTGTATAACTTCTAATTTGAATCTCCCAGTTAACCATATCCATGATGAGTTTTGACTTTTCGAACATAGGTGAAATCAATGCAGATTCTCCATATGCTCCATCTTTACTCTGGTCCACATTTATTCATTTCAATGCCTTGGAAAAAAAAAATTAATGTCAAGAATAAGTATACCTGAAAAGTGTTCATTCTGCCGTTCCACTACTTCGGAACCCTCAAACTGCAACCCACATTAACAGTTTGACAAGTTACCAAATATATCAAGTGTGTGAAGTGATGTAGGAAAAGAACAAGAAGAGAAAGGGGATCCAAGAAGAAGAATTAAATTAGGGCAAGAGAAATCAATTAATTCAAATAAGCCCTTTATATATAGAGCAAAGAAACTAAAAAGAAGCTAAAATCAAACAAACTTCTTTTAAATTAGAACTTTATCAAAATATTAAAACTAATCTAATCTAAACATTCATAATTGGAATCAAATTCTATTTTGAAATCCTATCTATATCTCTACATCTAATCATGAAGCCACACACTGTTATTTAACAATGCATCAACTCATAATTGGCGGTAGGTGCTCAATTGAATCCTATTAACGAATAGATTTCTTGACGACAAGCTAAGGTTTAATTTTACAGGTCACGAACTTTGTAATAACTTGACAGGAATTTATCATAATACCATATGTGAAAAGAAAATTATAACTGCACTTTGTAATTGAAAACCTCCAGGCTACAGACTCTAAAATAAGCAAGAGCCTTTGTCGATCCATAGCATGCCTTTGTCGCAGGATAGATTGTTTATCATGATTTATTTAACGAACGTCTTCCTCTCACAAATACAAGCCTTTGTCGATGCATAGGCATGCCTCCTTCTTCTTCTTCTTGTCACTGAGAAGTCATAATATGAGCGAAAATGCTCAAACTTCCATTGACATGGATTAGTTATCATGGATTGTGAATCTAAGATATCCACTTGGAGCGTATTTGGCTAAGCTTAAAAAGTCTCTCTCTCTCTCTCTCTCTCTCTCTCTCTCTCTCACACACACACACACACACAAAGCCCCCGTTTGGTAGAGATTAAAATCAATTTTTTAGTAGATTTTGATAAAAAGTTGATGAAATGTATGATTGAAAAGTTGTCGGTTCCATGAAATGTAATTATTGACTTTGACTTGAGATTTTAATTGGATTTTAATTCAAACCAAACAGGGTGCATAATTTTAGTAATTTCTTAATTGATTGCTGTAAGTTTACCGTGTCAAGTTTAATTATAAGAAAGTAAATAAGTTTTAGGATAAGTAACTTTTTTAAAGTTTTAGGATAAGTAACTTTTTTTAATATACTCGCAGAATCTACTCTTGGCTCACTAGAATAAGTTTACCTTGCAAGACAACATCTGAACTACACAATCTTCAGTACTTGGTGTAACCCTTAAGTCCAACACTGGCGCTACCTCAAAACTGAGAAGTTGAAGCTGTGGTAGAGTACACCTGCATGTAGCTAACATCGGTTAGTTGCAACAATTACTTATGCATGGGAAATGACCTTTCAAGCCAGAAAAAAAAAGTGAACATAAGAATTCTATTTTAGTGGGGCAAATTTGACGACTAGTATTTTCATCTATGAAGAATAAAAACATGATACATTGAATTCTGATATGCTTCTTTTTCCAATGTAAATTAGGCATTTTCTTGAGTGGTTGAGTGACGGAAGGGGGGTACTGCTGCCAAGTAAAACCTTCTCATGGCTAGAACCTCTATCGTTATTGAAAATGTACATATCTGTTCCAGCTGAAATACTTTGAATAACCTATCATCAGAGCACAAGCCAACCAAAGTTGATGTTCTTGCTACCAAAGAAATAATCAGTGTACGTAATGTGTGAGTTCTAGAACCAAAGTTAACTTCACTAGTATACATAATATTCGTGCATCTAACTTATAGCTAGTTAACTCATAGCTAGTATCAGGGCTTTCTCAGCTTGCTCAGTGTAAGCTATTTGATCAAAATGATGCATATTTATCAAAATATCAACCCAATGACATAGTTACTTCCATTCACTCTGTAGTTCCACTCATTAGATCATGGACATTATGCATGAGTTGCACCATGTTAAAGAAACATCCCAGTAAGATGCACACTTAAGCAACCAAGCGCAATTAGTTCAGACATTTTCAAGAGAAGAAGCATCTAATCAGCCCCAGAATGACAGAACGCTACAATCAGTCATAGATCAGATTCAATGTGGATTATATTCTAGGTTCTTGGCAGTTGGCAATCACAGAGAGCCATTAGTTAATTGAGCCTAGAATGCTTAACGCAGACAGAAGTATCTGTTCTATGTTTTGTCTGCATTAGCCTTACAGAAACACAGATGTTGGAATCACAAGTCCATTCCTCCACTCCTGTACACCAATTGCCACTCAAAATACAACTTTGCACTTCCTCATTGTGGCAATTCATCAAACACGGGCATGCAAGTATGATGCAGGAATCACACTTCATGTCCAAGCTGTTGAGGACAATTTAACTAAACAATTTTTCCCTTCTCTGCCAACTTAAGATTTTAGATGTAGTGGTTCAACGAACAAAATTGTTCACGTCACAAGCTAAAGAATGAATCCAGTCTACAGGAGAGGATCTTCAGAAATTCAGTAAATAAATTTGTCAAATCTCAAAAAGTTTAGGTTCTTAGACAAGATTGTTCAACACAAGCATTTAACATAAAGGAAAAGTTTGTAGCACAACAATAGGGAAAAAGTGAATTTTCACCTGTAAACATTAGAATCAAGGGAATGATAACTTTGCAAAGCCCTTGTGTTCAAGATAGATTCAATCCCACATGGATGACAAAGAAATTCACTTATATGATGAATATTCTTGCCTCCACTGCCATCATCACCATAATTTGGAAGCCTTATCCTTTCCTTCTTTCTTGCAGAAAGATTTGCTTTCTTAGCATTTGACTCTGACAACTTTGCTTTATATACATTTACTCTACAGCCCCCAATTCTCCTACTAAAAAAACACTTCACTTTCAGCAAAGCTCTTTAAAAACAATACAACAACAACAAATTTCGTCTTATTCCAAAAAAATTAGAGTCGACTGCATTAATCCCTCTTCGTCATTCTTCTTTTTATTTTCTTTTTAAGTTCTTTCAGCAACAAAAAGATGAGATGTTTCGTTTTCAGTTTTCTCACTCTACTGACTAAAAACCAATCAAATTCAGGGTTCATTTAATGAATTTCCATAGAACTTTATTCCCTTCTGTTTGTAGCCAAGTATAATCTAAAAAATAATAATTTTTTTAACAACTAACATAGTACCTGGTCGTGGAGGTGAAGATTTCTTTATACCTAGGGAATGGGGGAGTTGCAGAGTGGTATTTAGCTGCTGCCATGGATATTGGACAATATTTTGCTATATTTGCAGTGCCATGGATACAGAGAAAAAGGAAAAAAAAGTTGATATTTTGAGAAATTTCGAGGTTGGATTGGAGCTTTGCAGGGCAGAGAACCACCACCCCTACAGAGATGAGTTTCAACTGACAGACAGGTGGTGGGTATATTAAGACAGGACCCAATTTTACGTGGATTAAATTTTCCTTTTTTATTTTTTTGATAATTATTTGAAGAAATTTTTTTAGGATTAAATTGGAGAAGAATATTGAAAAAGAGATATTTTGGCACCTTATTTATAAAAATCTTATCAGTTTATAATTGGTCAATTTATTTATTTACAATTGGGCAATTCGCACGATGGTCCCTAATCTATGAGGTTGTTGTATAAATGGTCCATAACCTTCAAATCTTAGCACAAACATTCTTAAGCTTTCACTCAGTGCTTATGTGGGTTAGCTTAAAAAGTCGTTAAAAGCTAAAGTCAAATTTAACAATTTATTTTATTAACACATTTCATGGTGTCTACAACTTTTATCCACTTATCTGATCAATTTTTATCAAAATTTACTAAATTTTTTTTATCAAAAACTTTGTCAAACAATCTAAGACATAATTGATCCTTTTAGGTGGTTTCTATCCAATATACACTTGAAAAGTCAAATCTTTTTTGATTAAAAAAAAAAAAAAAAGACTAAAATGTGTCTACTTTTAGTTTAAAAAATAAAATAAGTGAAAAGAATTTTTTTAGAAATATGACAAATCATCCTTCAAAACAATCTCTCTCCAATTTAGCCCTTGTTTGAAATCCATTTTAACGAGGAGTTGAAAAAAATGTATTTTGAAGTAGTTATTTTTTGGAGAATTATTCAATGTTGAACATGCGTTGGACGTCATTATGAAATGCTGTATATGTACTGTAAAAGTAATATTTTAATATGCATGAATATTAATTAATTTATATATCAGGGAATATATATGGGACAATAGATGTTAAGTTATTTATTTAATTTCTAATTAAGTAAAATTAGATGTTAATTAGTATATATGAATGTGAATAATGAAATGCATTCTTGAATTGTCCAAAAATTGATTATTACTTGATGTAATGTTTAATATATTACAGATGTATAGTTGAAAAGTAAAGAAAAAAAATTGAGTTTACACGTAATATCATTTTATTGAAAAATATGTGATTGAAAATTAAAAAAGAGAAAAATGCATTAAATTAAAATGAAGTTCAAACATGGATGTAATTGTTACGGCTGGGCAAAATATCTGAACCGAACCGGAAACGAACCGAACCGAGCGGATTTTTTAAAATGAAATACCCGAACGGGTATTCAAATCGAGAACCGAATGGTTTGGTTCAATTCTCGGGTCTAGACCCAGAACCGAAAAATCGAATAACAACCAAATTTTTTTTTT